ATCTCCGATGACGGAGCACCGTATTTCAAAAGGGTAGAACACTCCTTTAATTCATCATTTATCAGTCGCCAGTTGTTGAGGAGCCTGTCAAAAACAAACTTGCTACGTGGATGTTTGCGCTGCAGGTAGTAGGAGGTGACCCTGAAGCAGTCATGGTACCGGCGAACGTGGAATCTTGCCGGACAAACAGTACGACGTGTGCTAAATCGTATACACAGTCAACCATTAACTTACTATATGCGACGAATTCCACGGCTTCTGCTTCGTCTGCAGGGATGTCTGCTGCAATGGTAGAAGGCATTTTCACACAAAAGCGAATTGCTGCTCTTTTTGGAGTTTAAGCGGACGAAAACAACGAAATGTTTCGCCTGGTACTCTTTCAAGGCGACTTGGAATTCATTGAATGAGACGACCTATAATCTACACAAAACCATCCTGCGCATTCACGTGCTCAGCCAAAGCAGTCATTAAAATATGAACATCGCGGACCATGAATATCGTGGGGATTGAGTAAATTTAAACAACTTTCAACAAAACTGCGGCCGTTTGGGTAGGTCTCATACGGCCCAAAAATTACCATCAACTGTTATAATTTTATGCTAAATTTTTCCTCCTTTGAACCACGGTTTCGCGCAAATTTTGGGTGTACTTCTAGCCGTCGGCCAAGAAAAGTTGCTCATAATCCGCCCAATGCTCTCAGCTTGCCGAGTGGATTCAAACTTCCTTTTCCAAAATGTTGCGTTTTATTTCTTTGTTGCTCAAGCAGAAAACCATCCTAATCTGCCTTCAAGTTTTTGCGGCTCGCCGAACTTCATTGCTCAATGGGGCAACCGTGACCCCGGGATAATTTTCCAGCTTCTCTGGGACCCCGTATGTCTAAATGGGGCTTATACGTTTGGACCGGTACTCTCTGTTCGATTGCCCGATTGCATTTTTCCATCAGCCCCCCCGCAAAAAAAAACATCGGTGAAGGAACCTGCGGCAGCTACAACCACTGTACGACGAGTACGCGGTTATTACATCTAACAATGATGATGACGATGATGATGATGATGATGTTGATGATGATGAATGGTCAATTCATTCAAAGGAATCTGCGCCTTTTCGTATTCTTGGAAAACAAGAATGATGCCTGCATATTCCAGATCGATAAGGTTTCCGTCAGAAGCTAGAGTTCGTTTAATCGTCTAGTCAACCACGAAATTAAATAGGAATGGAGAGAGTGGGCAATCCTGATGGACACCGCTTTGCTTATGTAAGCTTTTAAGGCGCTCACCATGTGCTCTCACACACCTGGAAGTCTAAGAATATAGATAATTACGGGGGGCATTCCATGATGTGCAGGGATAACAGACTGGTCAACCGGGTCGAATACACCTTGGAAATGGTAATTTGCTCTGGTTCGACAGAAGTTTTCCCAATAGAAAACTCCGGACTATGGGCGGAAACTGTCACGGGGCTGTCGATTGAATTTACTGAGCCTTACAATACGCGACGTAAAATGACGATTTCTTTTTTTGTTTTCCGCTCTAAAAATTCGCCTTGTTTACGCTTTTCAGTCTATGTATTAGGAAATGCCGTCGACACGGACCGTTCTGTTAACTGGGCTGATCAACATTTTGTCAGATGTCACACTACTGCTGCGGCTACAGTAGACAAAACGGAGCGTACGCTTTTTCGGAGGCGACCTGAAATGCAACTAACGATGAACAAGCAAATCACCCCACAATTTAGGGATAGAAAATAAAGTAAAAACGCGATGAATTTAATAAAGCCATTTTGTAGTGGTGGTCAGAATGTGTTGTTAATTTGATTTTGCATGGTGCTGCCTTACTGTCAGTTTAAGCAGAATAACCTTCGCGAATTTGCTAGTTTGTCAGCTATGAAACGCATACGATCTCTTCCAGTTACCATCACTAGTGCTGCGAGCAATTTCTTGTCAGTCCGTCATATTCGATCTGCTGTAATTCAGTACTGGATCGCGAAATACCTGTTTTTATGCACAGCTATCCATTCTTGAATATCGCGATCTTTGCTCCGCTTACGAGCGCATTTGTCTTCGGGAACCGGAGATGTTTGGTTTCGAATACGCTTCGGCATCCAACCTACCAGCTTGGCGTCTCCGAAAACATATTCAGCGTGAGATCCTCGGATCGGGCAAGCCAATCTCAGCGGATATGATCAGGAAACATTTATACGAAAACAGCTGAGCACAACTCACGGTGACAATGCTCAACCCTGCTATACCACGTCGAACACACCCATTTGTGCATGGACAAATGCTATTTTTATTGACCTTAACTTGGTCCAGGTTATCAGCTCATTTCTCGTTGGTTTGGGTTTTAAGGGATAGTAAGCGATTTATTCATCGACTACTTACTCGTAGGTTGTTGCAGTGTAATGTAGCATCGATTAATCACGATTATATCTGGAAGCACTAGAGTTTCAATATACCCGTTGATTCAAACTATAGTGTATCTGGTATACGGAATTGGTTTACACCGTTAATATAAAAAAACATCTCTTTTGGCAAACACGTGCTTACCGTGCTGACCTACCGTGTTATCGAAGGTATACTTTTAAATTACGCATATTAGAGTGTAGCAAAGTGCCTGTCACTTGTTTCATTCACTGGTCCTGCTTTCTTTTACTGATCTAAACGCTCCTATGCACTCGAGGTAATATCTTGTTAAAGGAAGTAAACCCCTAAGATATGGTACAAAATTTCGAGCGCAGAATCTATGCTTATAGATCCTCTGAGATATCTGGGTACCTTAGTCAGGTCCAGTTTTTTAAACCTGATCAACTGCATGTCATCTCGAACACCGCCCTCCAAACGTCTCAGGTTGACTTTTTCACAATCTTTTGTTCAAACCATACCATATATCAACTGCTAATATGGTTGGATGAACAATTCAGCACCGTACTGATGCGGTCGTCTGCGCACTGCGATCGACTGCGGTGAACGGTTTGGAAGAACAGAATGACAACTAGAAATGACCTTTCGATGGCAGAGGACACTGGTAGTTAAATTGTACGCGGGTTTGAAAGGCGATTGCACCCAAAAATGAGCCATAGACAAGGTGACAACCAGAACCAGTATCGCTCTATCGACCATTCAAATTCTTATTGTCAAAATTTCCTGTACAATTTCCTTCGTTGGTAGATTGAGGAGATTTGGAAATTTTAATTGGTATTTCGTCGCGCAAGTGGAATCAACCTAGGTCGATAAGCTGGGAAGCAGTGTGCGGCTGTTTCATCCGGGAGTCAGAAGTGGGCAATCGATGAGTCTCTTAGGGAATTCGAATCGCAACTTTCCAGCTATTAGTCGGAGGCTAAGCCGTTCGGTCACTGGCGGCTAATCAGCAGCGTGGCTAACTCGCACTTCGGGTAGCACCACCCCTCTTTCATCCAAAGAATTCCTATCATGTGGTCTCGTGTTAACTGACTGCTAGAGTAGCGAATTCTCAGATTGAATGTCCACGCTTTATGTAAGTTATTCTTCCTTCCGGGCCGCTTCTAGATTGCTGATATTATCAGCTTTCCGAACCACGCCCAGTATATTTGAACCTATTCTCACTGAATTAGATTCAACAGCCTTCTGCATTCGTACCTTATTAGGACTGACTTAGTTTGCAGGCCTTAGCTCGGTTGTAATAGTTAAAATACACAAGATTTGTCTGATGATCTGATTGTGTGGATATATTAGCACCTAAAGTGACTTAAGTGCTTCCTCTCATTCGTTTCGACATGGTGGTGAAATCGGAGTTGGGGGACAACGGGCAGTAATTTTTACATCTAACCGAGAGTGAGTCCTAGAATGAACTTACAAAGCTGAAGTGTTTGATCATTTTAGAGCACGTTTATCCCATTCAAATGAGAGCGGGCGTGCTTGCCACCGCCGACCGAAGGGGTGGTTTCGTCCCAGCTCTATGTGTGCGTCATGACTTACGCCACCATCCATTACAGCTGTCTATGTTTGGACATTCAGATCGGATGTAGCTATTGATTATACCTTTGCGATTTATACGAGCTCCGCTCTACGTGCACAAAGAAATGAAAAAATACTGGACGTTAGTTGTCAGAAGTACTGTTTCAGTATCTCTGCAGCATGGTTGTTTGTCGCATCTGAGAAACCTGGTAGACCGAGACTTTACGTTCATGAATAGTAGATTAAAATGTGGGTTACAAAATTACTACAGCGTTTTGGGGTTCGGCGTAAATTTCGTGATGAATGCATTCGATTTTCCACCATAAGGATGGTATTGAGAACGGTCATACACGATGAGGCCTGCAACTCGTGTGCAAATCAACATTCTAGTGCAGTTGGTTGTTGGACTCGAGAGGATTGTTTAGTACGTGGGTATTGATCAGTGTGTAGTAGACCGAACTGTTTGCTTCGACGGAAGGAACCAAAACTCCGTTGAAATCTGGTCGATTCCGTGATGTCATTCCCTTTGCGTTTCCTATTGACGGGTTGTGACTTAGGTCTGGTGTACCAGGTTGAAAATTGGTTGGTATGGTTTGAAGGCATTCTGTTGAGTGTTCTGAGGTGGACCAATTTCGAAGGTTAACAGTTGCTCCGAGCCCATCTGTTCAATGGAAAGGTAAACGACTCACGTGAATGACTAACTGACGACGTAAATGAGTTTTTAAGCAACCCTATGAGTAATATGTGCCAAAAATGCACGTGAATATCCTTGGAGTTGTGAGTACACAACGTTTAGGAACATGATTTTTCGGAATTGATTTGACATGGCCTTCCTGCACCACAGACTCCCTAATTAAAAATTGTTTTGGGCTTGACTTAACTGAAAGTTTACAAACAGCTGTCTTCAGTCGATTCACAGTAGACATGAGGACATTGAGGCTGGTTTCTGGCCTAATTTTCTCTCGTGTCGAGTTTCGCTTGTGGAGAGACAAAGCCCTCTGTAAACCATGTTCAGTGTGCTACTTCATTTTGTGACTTCATTTTACTGACTGTGCTGAGACCAAGTCCCATCAAACATGTTGAATTTACTTTCGGGTTTAGCAGCTATATTGTATGTCGTAATCGTCACCAGAGGATAACTCTAAGTACGCGCCATGATTGAAAAGTTCTCAAGAGGCCTCTCTATTATGCAGTTCAGTCGAGTACTCTTGACCGGCATTATAAAATATTTTGGAAAGTTCCTGTTGCGTGAAAGTGGGAAATGAGGCTCAAAGTAGCCTAATAGAAACAAATGGGACGCTCTTTTTAAAGACCTACGCAAAAACAGTCGCTTACAGACAATTACTGCGGGCCGAAAGAAAAGAGAAATGGTAATATCGAACAGATCGCGGTCACGTGTGGTTAGATATAACCTTCTAAGTGATGCCATGTAGTCATCTTCTTACTAATGCTAATGCATTTAGAATTCAGAATCGCCTAAAGGTACAAAGATGACAATGAGACAATGACAATTATTAAGCCTTCACGGCTTAATAATGAATGGTTTGAAATACTTGCAATGAAAGTGGTGAGTCAAAGCAGTAAGAGCCTTCAAACTGGTCCCATTAGTAATGTGCTCTATTTAGAAGTAGTCTCCACAGCACAGCACTTTGCCGACCATTTGCGCTGCCAATTGGTATCTAAAGTTACTTTTTATTTTGTGCAATCTGAATTCAGTAAAAGACTAGTAAAGACCATAGTTAAGACTGTGACTCCTTCACTGTGCGGCGTTGTGCCATACAGCATGGTTAGTGGTCTTCCGCTTCTCAACGTGATTATTCATCTTTAGGTATCTGCTTGTTCCATAAGTTTCTATGCCTAAAGGCGCTTGTATGAAGCTTGTCGAGACTAAACCCCACTTCGGCGGAATTTTCATTAACCGAGTCCTTTCCCAGCTTATCCGAAGAGTCGCATCGATGACTGGCACATGTCATGGTACCATAGAGATAGTTGCGAAACATGCCAGTTCCGGACATAGGACCTGAGTTGTCACGTCATGTTATCATGTGTTCATGGGGGTCTGTTTGTAATGAACGTGGTTAGGATGAAGAGTTCGTGTTTCCAATACATGTCTCTAGGCGACGAACGTGTTTTTTCAAGCGGAAGAAGTTCTTTCGAATGAGTATATAGTTCCTCATCTGTCGTCCGAAAATTCCCTGTTTAATCAACGGTGGACGGAAACTGCGGGCGCTTGTTCCTCATCCATCCGTCGTTTCCACTCGCACCTCATTGAAGAATGACTGTTCCGTCCATTCTTTCTGGCGTCTGTCAAACCCCACCATTATTATTATTATTACTATTATTGGGTTGAAAGGCCTGGTCCATTCTACACAATCCTAAAAATGTGAATAAATTGTAGAGATCGTCGTCATCGTTGGCAGCAACGGACGTCACAAACTTAAGGACAGAAAACCATAGCAAAGAGTGAAAGGAAAAGAGAAGCCTCGGGTAGGGACCTCGTGCAAAGAAGTCCTGTGTCTTCAGGGAAAATGATCAAGAAAGAGAGTGTTCACCTTTGGATAACATTAAACACATCTGAGCATGTTGAAATAAGGTTCCATCAACGGAATCAACTTAGCATCCATAGCGAAATTCACCTGGCCTGCAACGACAAGCGAAATCTTGCTATACAGTCCGGCTAGGAAACGACAGCATGCGTGCAGCTGGGATCCGTTTGGCGTCATCCTGTAGGGTTTCCGATCACCCGCAAGCAGGAGGTTTCGTAATAAGGAGCATGTGAACTTTTTCGTAAAAGAAACTACTCTTAAAGCTGCTGAAAACTCTCCGATAGCCCACAACTAGTTCCACCCTTCTTGCAGCTCACTGGGTACGTGCAATCTCCCAGTTTTCGTCAGAGTTCTGTTCTTAAATGAAGTATCAACTGAAACATGTAACTTCCTTTATGCAGCACATTTAGTTGAGAAATATCACAAACGAGGTTCAGTTAAGTCTGTCGTCAAAACATTGATATGCAAATGAGTGTATTTGTCGGAACATCAGGACTGCTCACGACCATCCCCTCTGATCAAGAATGGGAAAGCTAATCAATCAACAGAGTTAAAGGCTCTTTGCAATCGAGGAAACTGCGATTGTTGGTGGGCGGTATTTGTGGCGTTGCTCAAGCGCCTGACCTAATGTATGGGTGTAATCACTGCATCCTCTCTCAGGTCGGAATTCTACTTGGTGCGCTAGGCCTTGTGTCTCACCTACGAAAGATAGGCGTCGCCGTATAAGGTAGGCCAGTACCCGTGTTGTGACATCTGTGAGACTTATACCCTCTTGTGGGAACAGTTGGTTTAGGTACCTTTTTTGAACGCAGGAACGATCAGCGATTAGTCCCAGGTCTCTTGAACACGTCCTTGCTTCCATATAATTACTAGCAGCCTAGTCAAAGCTGACCGATCTCATCTAGTCCAGAAGCCCTGTGGTGCTTAAAAACAGCAAGATATATTAACGCAGAGAACGATGGAGGCCTATACTCACGAACCATGCCTCAAATGGGAGATAAAGGCAATGGACAGAGGGCCATCTAAACTGCTGTTAAAAATTTTC